GCGCTTGCCTGGGAAGCCCTTGGTGCCCAGCGTGGTGCGGGGAGACCCTGCGACACCCCGCAGGGACGAGGACGCTCCCGGGAAAGCCCGGAGACATGCGGGTTGAGGAGAGGCAGCACCAGCGAGCCAGGCCCGCGGCCAGGCGGGCGCAGGGCCTCGGCCTGCGGCCCCCGTACAGTACTGAGAGGGTGAAGGCCGCGCGCGATGCCTCAGGGCCGCCTCCACGCTGCCAAGGAGCTGGAAGCAGGGAGGGTGGGAGGAAACAAGCAGGCAAACAGACACAAACACTTAAACGTTTACTCTCAGACCATCCTGCAGGTACCTATGGAGCGCTCAAGCACAAGCAGCGCTTGCGTGCACGGGGGTGGAAGCCCGGGGCATCGGGCCTGCACCACACGGCACGAGGAGGTCGGCTCCTCCAAGCTGGGTGTGCTTGCAAAGCAGCTGGATGCAGTGAAATAGGGACAGTTCTGTGATTTGGAAAAGGCCTGCAGAAGTCAGTTCAACTCTCATGCAAAAGTCTCTTCCAGGTGTTCTGACAAACTTAAGAACAGCAGGACAAGAGCTAAGGAGCAAAGCGCTGAGGTACATCTCCCTTCCGAGGACATGGAGCATGGCAAGAGGAAAGGTACTCCTAGGAGCCCAGAGTAGTAAATGCTCTGGCTTTCACATTTCTTTTCTATTCTTATAAAAATAGTCCAGTTTTCCAAAAGGTAGCTTTTGCTGCCACCTAGAAGTCAATATTGGTTTAGATGATAGAAGTTCTCCTTCCATTCAAAACAGAATATAAGACAACTTCTTTTGAAAAGCAGAATTTCTGCCTGACTTTTTTTTAGACCTGAGAGATCAACCTTGGAAAGCCAAAAAAATACATGACAGCAAAACCCAAATCAGTTGTGAAATTCTGCAGGTAAGAAATAACCTAATTTGGGGTGCTTTTTCCCCCCCTCCTTAGTTTAACAACAAGGGAAGAAAAAGAAACCAGAAACTGCAGTAAAAAAATGAAAATAAAAAAACGTGCCCGTATCTCTTGCAATAAATATGAGTAACAGCAGAGCATGAAAACTTGGGGCTGCACCAGAAGTGTTCAGGCTTCAGAATAGATGACAACAGAAAGGGAAAAAACAAAGGACACAACCACGGGAGACAGTGTCATGCAAAGAGGACAAGTACTTAAAGCACAGCTCAGAAGGCCTTTATCAATGAGGATGTTAATGCACATTCTGCAAAAACTCCAGGCAACATGCTGCAAAATCTTCACACTTCACTCGGAGGTGATGCTTCCTTACGAAAAGCAGCCGCTCCAACATCTGCCCTCTGCCCTGCCTTTCCCCTTTCCCTAAGAGTGCATGAATAGGAAATTGCAAAGAGTTCACACTGCACGTTCCACTCCAAGTCCTGGATGAGGGGCCTGTTTATTCTATGAATATTGCACTTATCCACTCATTGGATTTCTTTTTTTTTCCCCTCAAGAATGCAGATTATTTGGGAAGGAAAAAAAAAAAAACAGAAGAAATTAGTAGGCTACAACACAGGAAATTATGAATCATCAACAGGCTATCTATGAAGATCTAAAATTAAATAGTACTAGTCCTATTCTGTTAATACTAGTAATATGAAAATAATGAATGCTTTATCAAATTCCCTTGTTTTTCATATAAGATAAAAGCAGTAACTTGCTTTTTAACTGAGGAAAGCAATGAATATATATTACAATAAAATACAACTCATTAAGATCTGAAAGTGATGAAAACAATTATATAATGCCTTCGTCAATACTTTAAAGCATCATAACAGGAGGAGTCTTTGGGGTGCATTATCCACAAGGGCCAAAATCATTGAGCTACACTGGTGCAGACATGAAATTCTATTTATAGGGATTTAATCATGAGCCAATTTTGATCCTTCATTATGGTGTATTTGCTATTAAGGTACACAGTGATTTAAAAGCTTCTTCAGCTAAATATCCTGGCTCTTGCCCATCCTGTCTTTTACCTTGAAGCATTTGGCTGGCCAGATTGGCACACAAGACTATATCCAGGTGTCTCAAGGCAAAAGAGCTAAGATTAATTTAGAGGAATTTTGTCCAGCAGGGAAGGGCAGCAGACAAACGCATTACTGCTGCTGGAACAAGGAAGGGGAGACAAGGCAAAAATAGCAATTAAACTTTTCAGGCATTATATAAACCTCAATAACGAACTCAGAAGTGCTCATTATCATTAAAGTTGCAGTATACAGCAAAATGTAATTTTCACATTCTCAAATTTTGCTCTGTGGAATCAGATTTGGGGGTTTCTGCCGGTGCAGACTGGGCAAGCGGGGAGAGGTGGCGGCACAGGCGGCCGCCTCTGCCTTCCTCCCAGAGGAGGGCTCCCTCCAGCTTCCCAAGGCTTTTCCGCAAGGCTCTGCCTCATCCAAGTCGGGTTCAAGAATGAATCAGATAAAAACAAAAAATGAAATTTTAACAGTACTATTGATTTCTGCATTGAGTGTTTACTGAGGTCAGTGTTACGTATAAATACCGCTCTCGATCCAGTGTCAGCTCTGACAAATTTAGCAAGTAAAGCTTAGGGTGACATAGTTTGGGAAAGAATCCAAAGCCCTTTCAACGCTCCAGCGTCCTCGAGCTGCCCTTCCAGGCTACGCTGGGCTGCCCAGGCCACAGGCCAAGCTCTGGGACTCGCTCTTTGGGCTCTGGGTCTCGCTCTTTGGGCTGTCAGCGGGGCCGGCTGGGCACTAGCTGCTCGCTGAGGGGTGGGAGAGATTAAAAAAATATATATTATTTTCCTGATCTTGCAGTCGAAATAAAAATCACTGAAAGATAATGAAAAACATAAGATGGGAAGGGAACACAACACTTTTTTGGTCTTTACTTAAAAAGTACCCTTTTGAATGCAAGAGCTGGGCCAAATCCAGGCTTTGCTGGGGCAATGGGCTGGCAGCAGCCACTACGCCCCCCGGCGGCCACCGCGAGCCCGGCGGAGCCGGAGCTGCTGGAGGTGGCTCGTCCCGGCAGCGGCAGAGCCGGGGCTGCTCCCACAGCCCGTGCAGGAGCCCCAGCCGCTCAATGCAGAAGGTTTGGGAGCTGGGCTTTTACCTGCCTCCCGAAGAGGTGAGCTTGGGGGAACGTTTCCAAACAAAACACTTGAGCATATTATTTTAAAATAAGTTAATTCTTAATAAATATGTGCTTGAAGAAAGTGATAATTATATACTGCACCTTTAAGTAATGCACTTGGTTCTCTGCATTGGCTTCTGTTTTGTTTTTTTTATTATTGTTAAAGTGCATTAAATCAAAATAATGAACCACTTCCGCATCATTATTGTTAAAATAAATCATAACAACATTAATACAAGTCACTAAGTCACTACTATTAGTACTGCAATCTAGCAGATAACTCTATGTATTGCTCTATTTAATACTGTCCAGCAGAAGAATATAATACTTCTATTTTAAACTCACAACAGCTCCAGCAGTCGTTAATGGCTGCCACCATATTAGTACAACTAAAAATGGGGAGAAGCATGAGAGACGGGGCCACGACGCCTCAAAGACATCCAGAAAGATGTAGCTAACTGGATATATACATATAGATCATATAGCAAGATGTAAGGTACCAAGCGGGCTCCGCACTTCGGGAGAGGGGCCGCGTTCTCCTGTGACCCCAATTTGAGGGCATCCCAACCAAACAGCCTCCCTCCCATCCCAACCCAACGGCCTCCCTCCCTGCTACGAGGCTCCGAGCGCTGCCAGCACCACAGCACTGGCCATGGCCACTCGGGCCGCCTGCGTTTAAAGCCAACCAAATGACACGGATCAGCTGAGCTGTCAGTAACGCTCTCTCGATGTTAGCATAGCAATTAATAAAAACCCAACCACCCCCAAAATAAAAATTAAAAAAAAAAAATGAAGACAAGACCAACGTTTAAATTGTATATTTTTTTTGGCAGAGAAACATCCCTGGTAACACATGATATTGTTGTGCTATTTTACTGAACCCCTTGATCGCAGCTACTTAAAGTCTCTATAACTTTTACCTTCCAAGCCAAATTGGTTTGAAGCTGTGGTGAAAGAAAGGGCAACGTATCGTTTTGTGTAAGCCAGTAGTGAAATAGTCTGCCCCTTCCCCCATAAAACAGATACACAACGCTGTCTATTAATTAAAGGAACCAAATAGCAATCTTAAGCGATTAATAAAGGCTATAAGGAAAAAAAAAATCAAGACTTTCTCAAGTACAGTAGGGATTTAGCCAAAGTTTACAGTACAAGAGTTGGCTACCTCAGGAATGACTCCAAATTCCTTTCCCAATGGAAGCCTCTTTCATTTCCCACCACGCTACCCCTGTGTGCCACATTTCAAAGCATGAGTTAAGAAAGGCAGATGAAATGAAACTAGAAGAGGCAGCTTCCTGGTTAAACACATTTTAGACCTCATTAGATATTAAGTCTCTGAGCCCGAAAAGCCTCGACGCACGTTCCAGTACAAATGTACTCTTTTGGATTCAAGTGGGAACAGAAACACGCATTTGGCTTCTACTTCAGTTTTAAGTCTCTTCTGGTAAACCAAGACAAAAAATTAAAATTAAAGTAAACCCAGAATGCACAAAGACAAAAAACATAACACAGAAAAACAATTCCCCAAAAATATACAAATTAGGCTGTGCAGACCAAGTTTGATGGCTTTTTTTCCTCCCTCATTGTAAACACTGATGTTGCAGAAGGTTACGGCTCTCCCTAACTAATACTTTTGCGGGCCCTGCCAGCAGTCAGCGCGCTTGGATTTGCACCAGATCGCAAAAAAGGAATTGACACATTTGACAGCTTTCTCATCTTCGGTGTCTTAAGGGAGTTTTGTTAATTTTGATATTACAATCATTTTGAGAAACTCAATTCTGCAAAGAGAATTAACTGAGATCTCCTGGCAGGAGTCAGACCCAGAACTAAATACAGAGCCGATAAAGTTATCAACATGCTTAAACATGGGGTTTGTGGATTTGTTTTGTATAAGCACCTGTGGGCCTCACTGCCCTAGAACACCTGAAAAATCCCAACTCAAAGAACAAGACAGGAAACAAAAGGAAACAAAACAGAGCGCCCAACAAACACCACCTGATTGCCATTTCTGGGGAGCAAGCAGTAACAACAAAACACGACTGAAGTCAGAGACCAAATCTCTCCACGATGAAAAGGCTCCAACTCTGGACCAACCAACTGCTAAGAGGAAAGAAGTAGACTTCTCCAAAGGGTTAGAGTCCCTCTGTGTTTCAGAGCACAATTTCCATTTGCTTCTTACTGCTAGCAAGTTGCAGAAGCACATCCAAAACTCTTGAGTATTCCATGTGTGGACAAGAACGAGGAGAATGGGAGCCAAGACTGTAGAACATTAGAGTTTGGCACTAAACTCCTCAAGTAGATGCATCTGTATCTCTCTCAAAGGCACGCATTTGGTTTCCTATCAATAACGGGAGAGATGGAATGTCATACCCTGTTACACATACAAGATTATTAACAACTTCACAAAAAGGCTTTTGACTATGCTGTATCTTCCTCATAGCTGCTTATGACACCTTAACCCCACAGACCTCTCCAGAGCATGGCAGACTTGTCCACAGCATAGACAGACTCCTTTGTCCCTTTGTACAAACTTGGGCACAGGGAAACATCTTTTTGTGTAGTAATTGTTTTTTTTTTTTTTCCACATGTACACAGCAGGAACAGTATAAATTAGGGAGGTTAGAGACATTGCAACATTAGTTCTTTTTCTCCAAATAATTTGAGGGCACCCAGCCTTTGAATGGTTTCACACCATTCATGATCTGGCAGTACCACCAGCCATTTGGGTTCCTTTCCAGGACCTCCATGCAGACACCTTCCTGAAACCCTGCAGTCTCTTCATCCCCTTCATAGTCTGCAATGGAAACATAGATGTCTTTGAGATTGTTGTGGATGAACTGGGATTTCTCAATGGGTTTTGGTCTGACAGTGGACACAGGAATCCCATTCCGCTGGCTGGGGAGGTTGGAGGTGGTTTCCAAGCCCTCTGTGCCAGACCTCTCCGCCTGCTTTCCCTTGGAGTCACCCGGCTGTGATCGTGCGTTACTGAAGGAGGAATTCCGTCGGACGTTCCTAAGATGGTCTGTAGATGTTAAAGATTCGTTTCTGCGCAAGGAACATGACAGGTTGTTTTCCTTTGGTGGTGGAGACACAAACACTGACTGTGGCCGGACTGCAAGCTGCCTGACACCATTTCTCATTTTGACCGGCCCTGACGTTTTTGAAAAACCGCCAGGAGGTTTGCTTGGGATGGGTGGTGTTGCACGTTTGCTTTGGTTGATGGTGTTCAAAGCCTGCACTCTCTTCTCTATCTTCTCTAAACTGTTTGACTTGTTTTCATTTTTCCTGTTCTTGGAAAGTGAGGCATCTGTGTCTGTTGCTGTAGTTTCTCGATTATCAGCAAGAGCCAAATAATGGGAAGGAGCCCAGCCTTCCGCATCTCCATATTTCAGGTACCACCACCCACTGGCTTGCTTCTCCAGCACTTCTACTTCTACTCCTGCTGGGAAGCCAATTTCAGAATCCTGTACCTTTTGGTATGAGTCAGTGGTCACATAGAAACTTCTGGAATCATTTTCGTGCTCAGTTTTGGCCTGATGGCTGGAGCAGAACATGCCACGGGAAGGAGCGGTAATGAGATCAGCTGAGCTCCTTCGAACAGGATCTTCTTGGTTTTCAGAAGCTGTGTATGGGGGGCTCTCGGACTCTTCACTTCTTGAACCTTTAAGTCCACCTCTCAGTTGCCCGGTTGGCCTCAGCTGACGTCTTAAAGTGCTGATATCCATTTTTTCCTGACTCTGAGACTCTGCCTTGTTCAGGAAGGGCTTGGGCCTAACAATTGGCTTTGCTCTAATGGAAGGGCTCTGCCCAGGCTCTTTCTTCACACCTGTTCTTGGCATGCTACGTAAGCCAACATCTGAGGCTGACCTCGGTTTTGTCTCTTCATTCCTGGAGTAGTGACATTTTCCAAGATCAGGGTGGATGTTTTTGTCAGTCTTGGGCTTCACAAGTGATGTTTTAGGAGAGCTGGAACAAGGAGAGTTCCTTCGAATCAAGGACAGAGAAGCGCTTTTCTGGGAATCAGAGTCTCCACTAGATTCCTTATTAGACAAAGCATCTTCTGCATAACGCCTGAATCCCTCATTCTCATAGATGGTCTCTTCTTCATGGGCAACATCCTCGGAAGACTCTCCAACTTTGAATTTTGTTTTCTGAAGCGATGACACAGGTTGTTTCAGCGGCTGAAACAACCGTTTTTCAGGAGTGCTTTCTTCACGATGGCTTTCATTCACATCACACTCCGAGTCAAAGCCAAAGGCAGGTACGTCATACTCAGGTTCTTCATATTTGAGCTTATGGGGAGAGTCCTGGGCTTCCCCTGAAGAAACAGTTCCAGGAATTGTCCCTTCTTCAGTGTCTTTTGGTTTACTGGGAGGAGCTGGGGGAGGGACCTTCGGACGTGTTAGGGTACTGGTTCTTCTGTTTAAATTTGGCTTCTTCCTCTTGTCAATGTAAGATGCTGGTGCCCATCCTTCCTTCTCTCCAATCTGCACATACCACCAGCCACCAGAATTCTTTTCTATAACCTAGTTGATGACAAGCAACAAGTTAGGTAAGTCTTAACCAACTGCTTTTCACCCCCCTCCCTTTTCAAGCCTCCCTTTCAAGCGCAATATTCTTCTCCCAGCTGCACCACCAGGACTCACCTCTGCTTTTTGTCCTCCACGAAAGCTTATCCCATCAGAGATACAAGACTGGAACTCCGCAATAGTGTAGTATTCCACTTCCACAGAGGGTGGCTCTGGCGGTTTAGGCAACTGAAAACCCTATAGCAGAAGTAGTTTTGTACAGTTAGCAGTGACATATATGTATCTATATATACAAATATATATGGGCTGAATGGCATCGGTATGAAAAAATGTTTGCCTTCACAGGTGTTATTCACTAAAGCCCTTCCTTCTTCCTATGCTACTTCCTAACAATAACTTCCCAATTCTCTAGAGCAGAAGCTGAGGCACAGAGATGGGCCACAAGAGAGAAGGCCTTTCAGACTACACTCTGTTCCTGACCCCTTTGCTAGCTATTAAAACTGTGATAATCTTTACCCGAACAGTAAAACTTTTACTGATAGGCCATAAAGTGCACACTGCCATTCCAGCCACAGTAACAACAGTCTATTTATTCTGATGTTTTGAACAGAAGGACTCAGTTCTGGACGGCTTGTTGCAGTCATAGTAAATGGCATTGCACCAAGCCCATGATAAGATTCTGCCCATTCCCTTCTATAATCTTTTAACATGTAATGCTAACAAATTATTGCTCTTCATCTGTTCCTGACTTTTTAAACAACCTGAATTCTTTAGTGATATGACCTATCTGTAGCAAGAAATATAGAAATAGAGAATCCTGTAACACCTTTCAGATGAAGTGAGAATGGAAAGGGAAGAGCTTGAGGGCAAACCAGAACCTCTGCTCAGTCCCAGCACCAGAATGCCAGTACAGCCTACATTGCATTGCATAGAGCCTCCATGAGAAACAGGACACTTGAAACCATTCTGGCAGCACACCAGACTGCTCTAAAACCTGGATGCCCTTCCATTAAGCCTTTTTATTTATGCATTTCAGAACTTATTACAATTATTTTTAAAGTGATAAAGTGCAATTAGAGCCCTTTCAAGAATGCTGACATCCAAAGCCTTTCAGATAACCACAGCGCTTCTCTGCACAACAACTAGAGAGGATGGTGACGCTGCACAGCCCCTGAGCCTCACTGAGGTGAGGTGTCACATCTCAGCACGAGGTGTCACAGCTCAGGATCTCATGAATACAGGTTAGGCCTGCAACAGATGGGCAAAGAACAGCAAGAGGCAGAAGATGATCCTAAAGCCATTATGAGAGGAAGAAAAAAGGACACACTGCTCTATTCACATGTTCTCTGGTTTCTGAGATACCCTCAGTGTAGCTAACAAGCTGTGTTTCATCACGCGCAGCATGTGGCATTTTGCAGAAAATGCATCACTGCACCTTAGGAACCATGTCTAACAATGTTTTAATTGGATGTTTCAGCACTATAAATGCTGAAATACAGCAGAAGATGCATTATAATAAAATGCCTTCAGATAACAGGATGGTTTGGATTAAACTAAGATAATTGGAAACAGCAGACATGTTCAGGGTTTCATATGTGTTATCACTGTTATTTTTCACATGGAATTAAATTTAGTAGCCTTGTCAAAACAAAATTTAATAGAAAAAGTGAATTAGGAAGAAAATGTTAGTATGCTATTCATCTCATTAAGAGACATCTCAGATGACACAGATATGAGTACAACTCAAACTGTTCTCTCTTTCTAAAATTACTTTTTTTTAAATAAGAGAAATATTCAGTTTTTATACCACCAACTCTTCATAGGGCAGAGTAACAGGCATAAAGCTGCCAGGTGACACCAGTTTAACATTTGGACACCCTTGCCTGCAAAGGTTTCCTATAACTAAACTCCATTGCTTAATGGACCACATGTATCTCATCACCTCAAAATACTTGCCTTAGTAGCACTGAAAGTCACTGAGGTGACTTATTTCCAGATTCAAGCATAACAAAGCATCGTATCTTTAACTGGGAGAAGGGAGGGATTTAAGAAAGTTCAACACTTGCTTAATTGGGGGGCAACCTTTTTAAAAATTGACATCTCAATTAACATCAGGATGTTCAAAAGCCTGTTCAGTATTTAAATAATAAAATGAATAGCTATGCAAACAAAACACCTCTCAGGTAATTTCCTATGGCTTCACAAGAGGGAGGGTAACTAAAAAGACCAGCACACCTATCTGACTGCTTCTATGTATCAAAAAAACAATACAAACCAGGCTGGATTCTCTTCGTGGGGGCGGCCGTGTTCTTAAATTTGGAGAACCTGAGCGGGAAAGGAAGAGGAGAAAGTTTATTTAGCCTTAAGTACTGCTGAACACATTCTTCAAGAGCTCCCTACTGTGTTATACAGCTTGAGAGTATTAGAAATCAGTATTTGCAATATTTGAAGCATCGCTCAAACAATATAAGAAAATATGAGGGAATGTTAGAGATACCAAGATAAATTTGCTATTCATCTCAGCAAAGCTAAGAAGTTTAAGAGGAAATCATTGCCAGAAAGTAGTGGATTATATTTTCTGCTGGAACTGACCGGCTCCATTGGAGATTGGCCAGCAAAGAATTGGCTTAGTGTTTAGTTTTCCCCCCAGCAATAAAAATAATCCACTGAATTAATAACACTCATACTGTATTCTATCATAGTATCTTGCCATTCCTTGCAAGGACCAGAGTTAAAAAATCTGCATTTTGCAGATGAAATGGTAAAAATACATACTGCAGTAGCTTGCTTAGGAAAAGGGCAAAACAAAGGCAAGAGAAAAGGCACAGGTGGTCTCCTTAATTCAAACACACCACATCATCCACATTATTGATGGAGCATATGCTAGAGTATCCAAAAGACAAAATACATTTCTCTAGAAAAAGAAAAACAAACATATTAAGTAACTGCATACTAGCTAAGATATACAAGCAGCCCTTGCACAAAGCAAGCAAATTCTATTGCTGCTAGTAAATGACTGTGTCCTGGAGTCCCTGCAGATCCCCAGAAAAGCAGACAGATCCGCTTGTTCAGCCTCATCTGAGAGGCCACAACATGTTTAGCTGATAGACAGTGCCACTGACACAAGGCAGAGGGGAAAAGTTACTGCAAACCAGTAAAAACCCAGACTTCTTTACTGCCTTACTTATTTGAGCTCTTTGTGGCGCTATCCTTGCTATGGCTGGGGATCCCTGGGCCAGTTTGGATGCCTGTTTGTCTGGGGTCATCATGGCATTGCCATTAGAGTCGCTGCACAAGATGGGCAAGCTGATTTCCTTCTTGGTGATGTGGGATTCTGAGGTCTC